TTAAAATTTTTAGATTATAAGATTATAAGAGCGATAATTTTTGTGAAACATCTATTGATTCGCCGCAAAACTCCATAACTCCAAAACAACATAATGCATAGAAGTACATGAAATCGCAGGTAACAAAATTTGGATGAAAACTTGTTTGAATCCTCGACCATTGTGATCTCGTTTCGTCATAGATTTTAAACGCAGTCAAGTATTTATAAAAAAAAAAGCCAGAACAGAAGAGATAGTTCATCAACTAAATCCTATATCACAGGCCAATAAAGCCAATATTCATATCTGCAAGATGGGAAAGGCCACTTAAGAGAGATAGAGACAGGAAGTAGAAAAAGTCAGACGCCAGTAGAAAAGCGACATAATGTTATCTTTCACATACAAATTCGACAAATAGAATAACCGGTAAAGAGAAAAGCGCTTTTCCAAGAGAAAATTTTAATAGGAGTATTTGATTTATTTAATGTTGCACTGTGACAAATTGCAAATGTGCTAGGAGTTAAATAAGAAAAAAATCTTAGTTACGAAAATTCATCATGTTCGCATCAGCAAGTTATAGAATGTTACTTTTCCAGTTATACAGGGTGTCCCGAAATTCGCGAATCAAAATATCATCAGCAAGAAAGTTCTCGAAAAAATAAGTTATTAATGTATTTGTCATTTCTCGTTCCAAACAGTAATTTTTGAGATATAAATATTTATATACCTGAATTCCATTGTTATCAACCAAATAAAACTAACTGTTAACAAAGTTGCGAATTTAATGAAGAATAGATAATTTTAGGTTTCGACTCTGCCAATTAGAAATATTTATTATTTTATTATTATTATTTTATTTATTATTATTATTATTTATTATTATTATTACAAATAAGACCTGTGTTTTTGTCTTCAACGGATCAACAAATTAAAACCCATTACTCGTATATTGTATCGTATCACTATCACATACATACATAGAAAATAAAGACGTGCAAACACCAAGTTTGGTAAGATAAATATATATTCAATATCAATAATTATTTAATTGTTGAGTCCAAAATAAATAATAATTTATTACAATCGTTATTATATCTATTATGTATTCTTTCAATGTTCTTTTCGCTTTTTGTTAGTTTTTAATATTATTTTCGTACAATTTACAATTGTTATAAAACATTCAAAACTGTCTGCATTTAATAATTGCTATACATGTCTTAAATTGTATTTATTATATTAATTTTGATTATTATAATACGTTATTTCATAATAAATTTTGATACGGTAATTTCTCATTTTTGTATATTTTAACATTATGTAACATTATGTTACATTATGTTAAATTATCTGTTTTCTAATCCTATTATTTCCTGCTTTAACTTTTTTTGTTTACGATAAATAATTTGGTCAATCGTATATTTTAATAATCTTCTTTAGAATTTCCCTTTTATTTCATGTAAAAAATAATTTATTGGATAAATATTCATCTATTTCTTTATTTAATAAATACATTTACCGGTAAGGTTATTCCGCCGGTGCCTAATGCCTTTTCTAGTCTCCTCCTCAGGATGCCAGGCCGTCAGATCTCTTCGTAGCACAGGACACTCGTGAAAAACATTCGCGAATTATTACAATCGCGCGCACTAATTTTAAATAAAAGTCTTTTAGTCTGATCACTCGCGCTCCCGAAGTAAACGCGCGGCGCGACGAACTGGCTGCAATTCGTTTTCATTCAATTAAATCGGCGGCGGAAAGACGATCGATTTAATTCTGATTTTCCGAATTCCGGTTTTATTAAAAACCGATCAAATGAAGTGAAACGCATTGATTTGCCACATAAAAGTTCATTGAACGACTCGTAGCTATGTGATGTTAATACATTATTAATAACAGTAATATTATCTAACATTAATATTAATGTTATTAATAACAGTGCAACGGGTACTGTTAGCTTTGGGATTCTATTGAGGAAATCAACGGAATCCCTTGGAATACTGAACCTCTCTGCCACGTCAAGGCCGTACCCATTAAAAGGATTAATGTTTATAAAAAAAATGATTTTCCAAGAAATAAATCACTTGAAATACGTATATATTTCATTAGAGTTATTTCGATACGCTTAGTTGTCAATCTATTAATAAGCATTTATTATGACATTCGTAAGATAAAGTAACAGTTGATATTATTCGGTATCAAAGGAATGCGGGGGCAGCGTGTTTCGCTACCTGCCTATACGACGAACGCCAGCGAATGAATGGTAACACGTGGCACGCTAGTAAACACGTGACGTATCAGCCGCGGCGCGTAAACACAACTCAAGGCTACAACGACAATAGTCTGGCTACGATGATATATTCACTAATATTACAAGCAAAGTTTAATTTCCACGTTTCATCTCTCGATAAAGGAACATTAAATACTATAATTGTTCCATTTTATAACAAATAACTTTTAAATAGTATGTATCGTATATTTGCTATTTCATTCAGGATACGTTCATTTTAGGCATTCACGCGCTGTAAATGTTGTTCTACCTTCCTTTAGTGTGTAATAAATAATAAAGATAAAATTACATTTATAGCGCATGAGCATCCAAAGCAAACGCACTCTTAATAGACTTTGTTAGACAATTTATTCTTTAGATAGATATGTATATAGATATATCTTATGTATTTTATCTGTTATCTTGTTAGTATGCAAATTATTAATTATTTAAATTCGTGAAAATTCCAAAATGCTCAACAAATATTCGGATCATCATTAAATAAAATCCTTCGAGATATGCAATCCTTCTGTCACGTTAAGGTAATATTCATCGCAAAGATTATCATTTATAAAAAGTTATGAATTATCATTACTGTATCATTACTGTATACGAGTCATTTTCGCCGACCGAAATGTTCAATGAAACAAATTGTCTTTTTAATAAATTTGAATTTAACAAAGCAGCGCGAGTTACCAACGTTTATTATAAGGTACCGACATTCTAGAATCGACATTCTAGAATTCGTCATGATTTTTCGAAAAGAAAATGTGAAGATACGCGAAGTGATACGTAATACTACCTGCCCGTACGAGCGTCAGTGATTAAATGATAACGCGCTGCGCGAGCGTATACAATACCCGTCGATTGTAAATAAAGTAACAAGGTCACGTGCTATTGTATCATTATCTCAAACATAAAAGTTTCAACATCTATAACAAAATTAAACATTACCATTTATATCTGTTAAGTTCTGCGCACAATAGAGGAAATATTAGGAACAGGAATAAATATTAAATCTTGAAAGTAAAAATTCGGAATATAAAGATTAATGTGTAA